CTTCCCTCAAACATATCTTCTGTATTGGCATGGTTTTGTTCAGAAACACATCTTTAATTCTGGGCATGTATATCTACTGAAGTTCTTTCTTTATTTTTTTATGGGTTTATAATCTTTTGGCACCAACTGTACTTTTCAAGTTTAGGCATTGCAATACATATACAAGAGACAAGACAAATGGACTGGGAAATTAATTTCAGAATATGGAACTTATATATGCATATAAAATTATGGGCTATAAAGTAGCTATTACTGAAAAAAAAATTGTGCATGTCTTTGAAAATGTCAGATTGAGTGCTCAGTAGCAGATAAGAAAATCACAGCACTCAACTATATTCTTAGAAGGAGAGATAAGGAAAAAAAACCCAAACCACACCAAACATACCAGAAAATATTAATGAGAATTTGCACATATCAACATTATGTCCTTGTATTTAATATTTTCAATAGTTTTAATTATTTCATCTTTCAAATGTTATACTAAAATTTGAAAAAATATTGGGACAGAACAGAGAAAATTAGAGTGGCTTCAATATGAGGGAAGATTGAAAAGCTGAGACTCATCAACAAAAAAAAACCCAGAAAAAACAAAAAACAAAAAAACCAAAACAAAACGCCAAACCAATCCATAGAAACAACAACAACAACAACAAAAAACCAAAACAACAACAACAACAACAAAAAAAACCCCAGACAAATGCAACAAAAATAAAAAGAGGACATAACTTCACACACATGTCAGACATATAAAGAAAGGAATCTGATGGCTGTTAAAAACAAGAGCCTGAGGAAACCCACAGTTCTGGGAATCCTCAAGCCTTAGGTTTTTGGAAGACAGGAGAGTAAATTTGGGTAGGGGTTATCAAATAGTGGTCCTGTGCTAGTGTTCTTGTTCAAAATTATGTATTAGTCACTGTTTGTTATACCACATGCAGTCCAAATCTGACCAATCTGATCAATTATTGTGAAATTATTGTGAAAAGTCATTTGCACTAGATGTAAATAATTTATTTCTTTCCCCAGTCCACTATATGACTATACTTATGAATAGCATCCATTTATGCAGAATTATGCAGAATAATTCTCAGGCAAGAATCTACTGAAGTGGTGGTTGTAAGAAAATAGATGCAGTTCAGATATGTGGACAAAAATTTAAAAGTGAGCAGAAGAGAAGCTGTGTAGTATAGCCACTTGTGTATCATGTCAGTCAATCTCACCCAACTGCCCACTGAAGTTTGGAATAAGTACAAACAATAGTTTGCAAACAGGGATACTCCTCCAGATACTTCTGAATCTTTGTTGTAAAGAAAATGAAATGCCTAAACGTGCAGGGGGAAAAAAAAGTGGTTATTTTTAATGCCTGAAAGAAGGAATGACTTTCTTTCCCCCTTCCTGTTTCTGATTATTAATAATTTTAAACTTGGAGATTTGAAAACTATCATCTGAAAAAATAGCAGTACGTTTTTCTTGGGTCCTCAAATATCCCCTTAAGTCTTACAAGGTAGCTTATCTTATTTAATTCTTGGCAACAGAGTCAGTTTAGACTAACACAGGATTTCTTCCTTTGTCTTTGTCTTGGTGTGAGCATCCTTCCCTAGCCCATCTATAGGTCATATATCAGGAATCCTATGCTCTTTAAACCCATGTGTCCTGAATCCATGCATGGTCCCATTCCTTAACTGGTATATCTGGTACGTAAAAAGCAATAATTAAGTAACTGAGGTCATTCACATTATACAGACACCTGGTCATGTCAAGATGATGACAGCAAGAGCCCCTTGGAAGAGCTAATAACAGGGAAGACTCTGCAACTTTCCTAGGATATACACTCAGCCTTCCCAAAACAGTCATCAAGTTTGTGTCCTGCTCACTTTCTGCATGCTTGGGAAGAACAGTGGTGTAGAGTCGGCCAGAAGCCAAGCTCTCTTGGCAGTAGCAGATTAGCATGCAATGAAAAGACATCCATATGGCCTTTTATATATTTTAGCTGGAATGTAGCCATGACCTGATAAAACATGGAATACATGGCACTGGCACATTGCATCAGCATACTCCTTCTCTGTTTGCCAAGGTCATGAATGAAAATATTTAAATACCATCAGTTCTAAAACCAATACTTGAAAAATTTCCTAATTGCCTTTCTCCAGAACGCTAGCTCTTCTTTCATCAGAGCTCCTTGCCATCTCCTTTTCAGGCAGTTGATTTTTTTTTAAGTTCACATATTAATTCCCAGTGCTCACTAACATTGTGTACTTTCAGGCTGTTTAATTTCATCTATTATAGATGTTTATACACCGATATTTATTTTTCTGTCCCTAAATGATGAGAAAAGCTTCTTTGTGGAATGTTAAGCCACAAGACTGTTATGCTGCTTGAGCAGCATGTCAAGGGATTTAACTAAACTGAATATAGCACGTTAGTAATTGCTAAAAATCTTCACTAGTAAAGCAATAGAAGGAAGAGAAAAAAAGCCACTCCTCTATTCTTCAAATGAGAGGAAATTCACAAAATTACTTCATTATAGTTAAAGAAATTGCCTACTTGCCACAAAGTTTTCATGATTAGAGACTGGGACATCAGAAGCCCAGTGCTCAGTACATCTGAAATAATTTTTTGGGTAAATTTGAGTGAACAGAATTTAATCTCTTCCATCCTCCTGCTGACACATGAACTCTGCAATGCCTTGGGACCCAAAATAAATCTGGCACAGGAGAGAGAAGCAGATTCCCTCTTCACCTCATCTAGTGAAACAAATCCATGGCATTGGCGCATTAAACAAATGCTATGAGTGACTGAAGTCATCCTGGTAGGCTTGGAGCGATTTGGATATGGCATGTTGGGGAGGAAAGAACCCTTTCAGAATTGGTGCAATAGTCTGAATTTGTGGTATTTGTTAGTCACTGTCTTAGCAGCTATGTTATAACTCTACATATGGTCAGCAATCTATATTTGTCTGTAGATGAGAATCTGCAGCCCCTGTGTAGTTGATTTTGTAACAAGGAATTGATATTGTTTATATGAGTACTTTCACATTTATCCCTTCATTTTACTTGACAGCTCCAGCATACTAAATACGAATTTTGTGTTTGGTAAATCTTCTACTAAAGATTTGTTGAAAGTCATTGAAAGTTAAATTCATATGCTGCAATTATATTCTGAATTACTCTATCCTTCTCATCTGTGCTTTATAGAGCAAAATTCCCTTGGAAAAATGTAGATGTTGAACTAGGGCACTAACAAAGGGTGATTTCATCACGTATTCCCAAAAGGCCTTGAGGCGAAATTCAGACTCATTTCAAGTAACTGCATGGCACAGATATTGTGCTACCTGGTTACTCCCGTAGCAAATAAACAGATCACAGACCTTTGCATCTGTTCTTTCTGTGTGCCTTCTACAGGAAGATAATCCTTTGTTGATGGTTTTCTATTCCTTTTTGCCAGAAGCTTAGACCTTCCAACCTAAGTGAAATGTTTTAACCTACTTTAATGCAGCACATGGGAACATTATTCCTACATCTAGGAGGGAGAAATCTTGTATTGATTGAGTCATTTGGGGTTTTTCTATTGACAGGAAACAGGGTAGAAGTCTGCATGCTTATAAATAAAACTGACTTCCGTGTACTTCTGAGGAGACGGTGCCGTACAGGTTTTGAAAATATCACCATTTGATAAATGTGCAACATAAGCATAAAAATTAACTTTAATTTTCCCATTAGGAAGAGAAGAACAAGTTCAAGCCTGGTTATACATTAAACAATGAACTCATGGAGATTATTTGAAGAAGGGAAGATCTTGTAAATGGAAGTTGTATGGGAAAGGAAAAAGATTGGTCTTTATATTAATGCTTCTTTTCAATATAATTCAATTATTTGTCAATCATTTTATAAAGGACTGTGAGCCCCAGTCTGAAACTCATGGAAAAATGAATGGCTTTATGTAAAACACTAAATCAAAAAAGTACCCCTTTCTGTGCACATACGTATAAGCACATAGAGATGTGCTAATAAGAAAAACCATACCAGAAACTTCCCAGCTTTGGCTAGTTATTGTGCAGTTTGTGCTGAAAATAGAGCCTTGAGAACTGGGGGATTCTTCTGTGCATAGATGGAATTCTTCAAATTAGAGTGCAAGTAATTGGCAAAACCTAAACTGAACATTTTGTAGGAGGAATGTGGAGGAGGCTGGTTGCATCTTGACTTACATAAAGAGGGATCATTTTTTGTGAAGAGCTATTTCTTCTAAGGTTTGAACAGAAAATCAGTTTATGTTCAGCTCCAGTTTGTAGAAACTGATTTTAAAATCAGAATCCTAAGTTTCTAAAATTTTACCAATGTCTTGAGCAAGAAGGTAAAAAATTTATTTTTAAAACAAATATTTTACATTAAATAATATGCTCAAACAAAAATAATAGATTTTTACAGAGAAATTTACTGAAACAAAAATGTAGGCACTTCTCATGGACATTTTATAAGATCAGTTATATTGCCTGATAAAGACACGTGAATCTGATTTCTTCTATCTTGTGTGAAGCATTTGCTCTAGCAGAGTGATTCAGTGGCTCTCTAAGCCCCAACATAAGTATGATTAAAAAAGATATTGTGGTATACTCAATCAAATTTCACTTATTTCAACTTGACATTTAAGTTATAATTTGGAATTTACAGATAAACTTTTCTCATAGCTTATAAATGAGATAATATTCCCTGGATCTTTGTTAGTGAAATGAATCACTCTAGGGAAGAAAAATATCTTCTTTCTTATTTCCACAAGTATTTGAAACACAGAAATAGAGTAAAAAAGAGTTCCTGGGGAAGAATACATCTTTATGCTGAGCCAGCAATTTAGATAACATGTAATTGTTTTCCTACCTACCAGCTTCCATTCTGTAAAAAATTAGGCAATTTGTATTTATTTTGATTTAATAATAGTTGTTTAATGTGATTGTTTTTTAAATGCTGGTTTTTTTTTGTTTTTTTTTTTTATCCAAACCAATGTACAAGAGACCATGCTGCAGGGAATTACGTTGGCCACATTTTCTCCTCATGAACGAGCTGATGTGGGTGAGATCCTTCTATGCTGCAGGGAAGAATCCTGGGAAGGTTCTGAACCTTTTAGTGCACAGCACTGAGACAGGTGTGGCGCCAGCTGATATCCCTGCCTGAAGATGGCAGCTTCCTCTTCGCTACCACTTCAAAGGTAAAGAGTTTATTTATACAGCAGCAGTGGGATTGGCTGCATCCACAATTGGGTTTGAGTGCAGAAATTGTCATCCTGGTTTCAGACATAAAGGTTACCCCACAGAGGATTAAGCGCTAGAAACACTGGGCAGCTGCTGAATCCCACAGGGCCATGAAATGGAGCCAGAACAAAAGGCCAAAGAGCTCAGTAGACATAAAATGCATGGAGATAGGGAGGATGGAAAAGTATTACTGGTATCTGCAGTATTTAATTTTGTGTCTGCAAGAAAAGAATCAAAAGATATTTTGATTATTTATCAAATTACTACCGAATGGCTAACTGTGATACACAGTACTTAAATCCAACAGGAAGCTAGCTGAAGCCACAGAAAAACTTCAAAGAGTATTTTTAAATTTCATGTAATAGTAAAGACTTTGGGTGTGTTGTATTTAAAAATAATGAAACTGCAAAAAGCCAGTGACTTAATGAAAGAATTAAGAGATGAAAAATAATGTAGAAAGAGGACCCAAGATTGATTAGGTGAACAAAACACTGGGGGAGGGGAAAGGAAGTGAAAGAAAAACCCAAAAATCCTTGTCTGATTTTGTCAAAGAAATTTGGCTCTCATCAGAAATAGTCTAGACCAGAATGAAATATATAAAATGTGGGCATCACTCCAGAGCAAAAAGAATTATTTAAATAAATAAATAAATCTGAACTATCTCATGCAAATGGCCCTAATTTAGAATGACAGAGCTCTAACAACTGCTCAGGAAGATGCTGAAGCCAAGACAACACTCAGCTTGTGTATAAATTTTGCAAGAAACCTAATGACATCATTTTGCAAGTGTTTGCAAGGGCTTGTATAAAATGCACAAAAGTGTGAATACCCAATAACACCACAGTCAAATTCTCCATTAAAAAATGAAAGGAAATAGTTATTAAATGGTTCTAAGCTACGCATTGATGTACAAAAGAGTGTGCTGCCAGAAGTGGTACTTAATGATAACAACCAAAACAGGCCTGGGTATCACACAGTTAATTCTATAAAAAAAGTGTACAAAGGACAAAGATCTCCCCAAGAGAAGAAAGCCTAGGAGTAGCAGGGAGCACAGCTGTTGCCATTGGTAATACTTTTGCTTCAGCAAATATCCCTCAGTGTAATATGCCTGGTAAGAAGTGTGCCTAATCTATCTGCTCAGCACAGTGATCTGAAAATCATGCTCTGGACTGTGAACAATAAATGGAAGCCTTGCCACAAAATAAAAGAAGCTGATGAAGTTCCTTGAGGAAGCACCAGTGGTCAGGAGCAACACTGTGAAGAACAATTTCAGTTATCTACAGATGACTCCAAAGGGAGTATTAGCACAATCCTCTTTTCAGCAGTGGGAAAACCACTGCTTAGAACTGCAAACCATTTGTCTGTGTGCGAGGCAAGCAACAGAAATGAGGTGTATTCAATGCAGAGGAGCTCTCTTATACTTAAGGCTTTCAGTCTATATGGGAAGCAAGCATTACACAAAATAGAACAAATATCTCAAACTATTATTGCTAGCAGGGGTCTTGGAGACTGGCACTCTTACCCTTCTCTATTTACTCCCCTAGAGAAAATGGAAAGGGCTTGTTGTTAGTTTGTCCTTCTTTACAGGCTCACAAGTATTCTTAAAATCAATGAATACAAAAACATTCAATGTGTGAGTGTTTCCCACCGACTTCATTGGAAGCCTATTCCCATCTCTGAAAAATCTTCCTAGTCCATAGTATGTCATTTACTGTAAATATTATCATTTAAAATATCAGAAAGGATGCAAGATACTTGAGAGGATCTGGAGCCCCTGATAATATGAGTTATATAATGGAAAACGTCCAAATTCAACACTGCATAACTTGTTTAGTAGAAATAAAAAAGCCCATAATCTTAGTCTCGCAGATTTCACATTGCATTGGGAAATCAGCTGTTATAGTGAAGATAATATAAATTTGTTTGTATTTGTTGTTTCACATTTCTGTGTGAAAATACTCCCATGCCCTAGTTCCCATACCAATAACTGCGAGAAGGAGAAGCGCAACTCGCTGTCTGCAGAGCTCACCACAGCGAAGGCCAGCGGTGGTGAAGTGGTTAAGTTCACACCCATGTCTTCAGCTACCAAATGCTTTGAAACTCAGAAACACGGGGCATCAGTGAGCAGTGTGTATTATCTGATTTCATCTGAGAATAGAAACAAACCTTATTTTGTCAGCAAATGGCATAACGCACTTTCAGAGGTGTGTATAGGAAATGGAGGGAGTCTTAGCCAAAGAAATCATAGTCTGGAATCGTGTGGAAGCAGGACACAGACAAATTATTCTCAGGGTGAGGAACAGAACCATTCCAATGAAATAACACACATATTGCTCTGAGTTTGAAATGCACTATAAATGGATCTATGCTGCCAGAATTAAGATGACTGGCACACCTTAGGATATATATCTGTGCTAGCACGAAACCAGGCAATTTTGGAGCAGTGTAGGGAAGAAGTAGGCTCAGATTTCAGGGTGAAGAGGCTCACATCTTGAGCAAGTCACTCAAATTACTGACAGGTTTCCACTGAAGGGAAATATAACAGAATCAGGTAGTTTTAAAGGCTTGTAGGGGCATGCCTCCGTGTACATCAATTACATCTTCAAATTCAGTGTAGGCACAGGATAAATGGATAAATGATATAAAGGCATTAAATGAAAGCTCCCAGTTCTAGACAATGGAAATAGTAAGAAAAGCCTGAACTAATAAAAGCAGTAGGGAGATGCAAGAAGGGATTAAGGTCTCAATGTAGGCAGTATCACAAAATGTAGTGATTTAAAAAGAAGGGGAAGGCAGAACAAAATATTTTGAAGGGAAAAAGCTGGTTCAAACTTCAAAAAGACGTGGTCAAATCAGGCTTTTGCTGTACAAGAGGTTTTTTGGGGGGCTTTTTAAGTGTGGAATTGAAGGAAAGAAGTGTAGATAACCACATGAGCTCTTAGTAATAAAACTGTGACCAAGTTATGTGATGTGAAAAAAGGCTGTGAACTTTCTTTGGACACAATTTCTTCATTCAAAATCCTTTGTTTAAAAGCCTGTGGGTTTCCGCAAAAATGAGAAGATTTCTAGTATAAATATATTTGACTTTTTGCTTTACAAGAATTTCTTCCTTTATCCTAACCAAAAAGACAAGGTGGGTCCAGAACTTTATTAATGAGTAATAATGAGTAAAAAAAGAAAAAAGGGCCCATCTCAGGCTTTTGCAATGCAGTAAGATGAAGAATTCATAGAGAAATACCATCAAATGGAGCAAGGTCAAAGGTATAAAGCTTTCAGTTATATCAAAAGAGTCCAAAATTTTTTCTACTCTTTTCCCTCAATTGCTTGACATTTTAATGGTAAAAAATCTGTATCTAGTTTCCAAGTGCATATTCTAGGGGGAAAAAATGAACATCCTAGTTTGATCAGAGTAAAAGCTTATGAAGAGCACAGCCTCCTAGTGAATGTACACACTATTGCACAGAAAAGCCCACAGAAACAAGAAAAAGCAATTGTATGAATCAAAAGCCAGTGAGCCAGTGTATTGTGGGAGTACCTGCAGTTATCGATACAGGACAGTTCAATTTGAACCAAAACCTTATGAAGAGATCAGAGTCTTATCAGAACTATTCTTTCAAATCTTATGTGTACATAAATACAATGTGTTTCTTTCTCCTTCTGAATGGATGCTAATCAGTAAGCTTTGAAAACCAAAATTTCTGTGAGTAGCTTAAATTCATCTACACTCATTAGATGCTCAATTAGGTGAAGCAAGCTTTTCATCATATGACAGAGGTTTAATTTAATTTGCCCAGGATAAGCACTTAACTATATCCATAGAGCTCGGTTCTTTATTTTTAAAAAATTACTTCAGGGTAGCAAATTGCAAACTATGAAATACTGGAAATCTCTAGGCAGACTAAAATCCAACATTATTTCTGCTAGATGTGAAGGTATTTAATTGAGGTATTTCTGTAAAAATAACAAAAAATTATTAAATTTCTTGCTATACAATTGCTCATTGAAGTAAACTGTCATCAGTAATAAGGTAATTTAACTTTCCACTTGCTTTGTGGAATGTACTTCAGGTGTTTTATGATATTTCAGGAAGAATGATCTCTTAAAGATGATGACTCAGAGGACTTTTTCGAGTAATTTAAAATCAAAGATTAATAAAGAATTTCTTTACAAAGGGGCAGATACTCCATTTCACTCCCTGATGGCAAAGGAAGAAATTTTTTTTAACAGAACATTTTAAACAACATCAATTATGTTTCTTTGCAGTTTTAAGACTGATGAATTAAAGGAAACCTTGATGAGAAGAAGGCTTGCTAAACTAAAACAGGCAGCTTGCCTGCTCTCAGGGTTTTTTAGCTACCTTTGAAAACTAAGATCAAGTTAGAAAATCAGAACCAAGCAGCTGCAAATACAGTCACTATTCTGTTCTTACCTGAAAGATTAAACAATTTCTCATGTGATTATAGAACAATTCTAACTGGATCCTACTTTTATAAATACTTTGAAAGTTTGGCTATTTGATTTTATTTCCTTCTGTGGAGATATTGCATCAAAAGGAGTTATCACTAGTAAATGTATATTAGCTCAACATTTTTAGATAAGATTCCTGCAGCTGATCAATATCCAGGGTTAGCTAATCTAAAATAGTTTTGGCAAACTTTTTTTGACCAATAAGTGACCACAGAAGCAGCACAGTATTTACATGTCTACTGCTATTAAATGATTTCTGGTTCCTCTAATAGGAATTTTATGAGCTGGTGTTTTAAAATTAAGCTCCACCTAAGTAATTATTATAATGACAATAATTTTCTTGCCCCAGCTGCCAAGGAACTGGATGTAACACAGGGGACCAAGAAAAGTCTTGTCTCTTCCCACGTTATATTAAGAAAATACAATTCACTGGGCTTGTTTTGAAGATGGAAAGGGTCATCAAACAGTCAACCAGGCAGCCCAAAAAGAGGCAGTGTCACCATTCCTTGAGTTGTTCAAAGGATCCATAGATGTGGCACATTGGGACGCAGTTTTGTGGTGGACTTAGAAGATTGATGTTTGGGACTTGACCTTAAAGGTCTTTTCCAACCTAAATGATTCTTGTATCCTGATTCTATGCTATGTACACTGTAATCAGCATGAGGAGATCACTGGTTTACAATGTTGTTGCTTCTTTTTTTTTCCCCAAATACTGGAAAATATTCAGGTCATTAATTACATTTGTAGCCATAGTTAACTTAATTATGTAATAATAATCAAGCTTCTTGCTTCAGGGTACAAACTAATTACCCCAAAGGACATCTGCATTTTATAGATGGCACTGCAAGTCTGGAAAGTGCATATAAAACTTCCTCCTCTTTTCAGATACACTATTAATCACAGGTTGGACCAGAAACGGACTTTTCTTGTGTACAAAAGCTGAATTGCATATAAATTACATGGAAGCATGGTCCTTTCTATTGCTAAATAAATGAAACAGTACCATCATCTGTAGAGTTTGTCTCGTTTGTTCCAATTAATGAGGGAAGAAAAGCTGATAAGATGAACAAATATAATGGCCTAGTACTGTATAAACTTGTTACTGCAACTTAATGGATACCTTGTCAACCTTGAATCTCTTATGAAAGTGGAAATTCATGTTCTCCATACTCAGCTGAGAAGAGAAGACACTCTTCTGCCAAAAAGTCTGAATGTTTGTAGCCCTGAGAGGACAGCATTGCAAAATCAGGCCCCTTTACAGAGATCAGATGAGGTGCAGAGAGTCTTAACTGGGGTAATGCTTTATCCTGTTTTAGAGAACTTTTCAGAGTTAATGAAGAATTAAGAGAAACAGCACATTCTGTAATGAGGTTATTTCTTGCAGAAGATTATGAGGAACCAAAAGAGTGGCTTATCTCTCCAAATTGATGATGATGATTGATGATGGTGATGATGATGATGATGATGATGATGATGGTGATGATGATGATGACAATGACCTTTCAGCTGTCTCAGGGGATTTTTTAAAATGTCTTTCTTCCTTTATGTTCGATTTTGTTCTTAAACATAGAAATTTTTAAGGGTACAACTTCCTAGGAACTGAACAGTATTAAAATATGTAGCTATGTATCTTCTTGTCTGGTAGTAATACACTGTTTCTGAAGGATGAAAATCAAAATATCATCAAAGAAGTGCATAGCCCATGAAGTGACAGTGATCAGAACAGAGAAGGATGGTTAAAAAGTAAAAAATGAGACTGATAATTGAATTTGGGATTTTTGTCAAATCTTCTGGAAGTAAAGCTTTGTAAACCTAAGTTTTGCAAACCTGTTTAGACTTGTAGAGTGTTTTTTTAATATGCACTGCACACACATATTAAAGGGCTGTTGTTGATCCATAATTCTTTCTTAACAAAAGACTGATCACAATTTAATACTAGTGATTTTGAAGGGACAAGTTTTTCAGCCAAGAAGTATGTATATGAAAAAAACAAATGCTGTTAGCTCCATTTTTAATGTAAGAAAAATTATCCATTTTGTCTCTGGAGATAATTAAGTCTCACAATATATTTATTTCAAGATATAAATGCCACTGGAAATAATAAGAAGTCACCCAACAACTATTAGTAAGCCTTTACCCATATTCAACAAGCTTATTAATCTTCTGTAATCTTTGTTTTCCTATCCCACACAGGAAACCAAAATCAGGGTTTTTTTGAAGTATAGAAGGCTTTAAAAAATTATCAGATGTGTCCTGAAAAGATACATAATATTACTGACAGATAGTGATTGTAAGAATGCTTTTTTGTGTTGACCTATCTCCACCTCCTATGATAACTTTCAGAAATAATAATTTTTACTAATTATATGTACTACCACCTTGTTCAGGAAGATTGCCCATCATCCAGAAAGAGAAGAGATAAGGAGAAACAGAGGAGAAAATGAAGCTGGCATAGGGGAATCTACATTGATTAAAGGATTTCCACAGCAGGGACCAGAGCAGAGAACACGAAGGGTCTGTGAGTTAGTGGCTCTTCCAATGTCTGAGATGAGCTTGAGCTGTGGATAGAGAAACATGAAGCGCTGGGAGACCCAATGATCATCCTAAGAGCTAAAATAAGGAAGGATGGGCTGAGAACAGAAAAGTCATGGATGTTGTATAACAGGAAGTCAAAATTCCTAAAGACTGAAGGATTATTAGAATGGAGAACTGCAGAAAAAGGTTAAAATAGCACATTATAAAGACTTCAATTCAATAATAGCTTTTCTAGGGTGGATTTAGATCTAAGACTCATCATTATTTTAAAATAAGAGGCAAAATGCAGACTAGGGGATGGACTGATTATTGACTTGAAGGCTGGCATCATCATAAATGAATTCAACAGGCTATCAGAAAAGACAAAAACCCAGGAAACTGAAGAGCTCCAGAAAACAGGTTAATGTTTGGGTACGTTTGATATGAGAACAAATGGAGGAAAGAGGCTTTGAGGCTGCTGCTCTAAGAAGGGGAGAAGCTACCAATCCAGAGGTGACAAGTTAAGGAAAGAGTGTGAGATGCCCAGTGCCTAAATTATTGTCTGTATGAGAAAAACTAAGATCACCTCTATGTCAGTGCATGTGACACAGTGACCCAGGAGTGGCAACGAAGAGGAAGATGAAAGATGATTAATATCTCAGCTCTTCAGAAACAACAATTAGGAATTGTGTTAGAGATGCAGTCCAAGAACTCAGAGAGAAGGATACAGGCCAAATGCAAAAGGGATGAAAAAAGTAAAGAAGGCAACTAACTGCATGGAGAAGGGGTATGGTGGCAGCAAGCTCACTTTTGGGACAGTGTCACCCAGGCCTTGAGCAGGAGCCACAGGAAAACATGCAGGTGATGTCCGGGATCTGTTAGTGTTTGAAAAGGGAAAGTGGAATGCCGGGGAGAAAGGAGACTGTCAGCTTTGAAAGCAGCAAGCATCAAAAAGGAGAGGAAAAAACTGAGGAAATTGTGAGAGACTGGTGAGAACCATGGGTGAACTGCAAAAATATTTAAATAACCCTCTGAGTAGTAGCAGAAAACTGCTATAAAGTCAGCATCTGTGGAAGCTTAGCACTCTTCTCTTGTTCCAATCCAGGCAGCTTATGCCTTGTTTCATGCTGATGAAATAACTTCTTTCCTTCCAGTGTGACACTATGCACTCTTGCTATTGCTTCTTAATTTTTCTCAGGTTTAGCTTCTAGCACAATACATGAAGACATGCATTTATGCAACGAAAATTTTCTTCTTTACTTGGATTTTAAGTCTGCAAAGATCTGTAACAGACCTGTAAACAAAAAAACCCTTAGGTTTCTCATTTTCTGCTTAATTGTTGTTTCCAGAAATCAGGTATTTTCAATAGATATATCCTTGGGGATATGAAAAATAAACATTAAAGCAGGTTATCTGACACTTATTTGCACTTCAGTCAGCAAATGTATCTAAATATTTTTTCATATGTTACATTTTTCTATATAATATAACATAACATAAGCTTTGAAGCTTTTCTTTCAAGACATGGATTTAAATTAAGTTCTGTTTCCTTTTAATTCTGAACTGTTTCCCATTTATTCTTTCTTTATTCTTCTCATAGTGCACAGTCTTGAGCATTTTTGAGCATGTAAGAAACTGTAATTGACTGTTCTGTACACCACATTCAGATTATCATACTGACATCACTCTGTAAATGTCTAGGGTTAAATAAAATAATGAAGATATGAAGCCACATAAAATATGTTTCCTGTTAATTGTGCCCATCTCACCCTGTACAGTGTTTTAGCAATGAGTCATTGTAATTAATTGACTGTACAATAAATGTACTAAAATTTGAGCATGGTAGAACACCCTTTGGCTTTGAAAGTATTGGCAGAATGATGTTAGCATAAAAATCAGGTTTTACATCTTCAGCTGTAGATGCTTTAAGGCAGTGAATGCCTTCTGGGTGTAACTCTGAAGGACAGTAGTACAGAGCACAGGGTTCCAGCTGCGAGCTCAGTGCCTGACGGAATGCCAACAGAACACAGCAATGTTCATGGGCTTTGGCACAGTCCTGATCTGAAGGGACTGCACAAGTTGTTTCTGAAGTTAGTTTATGCCGCATTTGCCCAGGACATGCTGCTTTCTGTGATGCAGACATACCCTAAGTTCTATTCTGACAAAATGTTTTCCTTCTGTATTTAATTTCTAAATATAGCTGGGGCTGCAAGAAATGAGGCACTAAAACTCCTTTAGGGTGGTGGCTGGGCTATGATTTATTTATTCTTGTGACATCACAGCAATCTGACACTCTGAATTTCAAAGCTGTTCTTTCCTCTGTTATCTTTGTAATTTGGCCTCTGATGCTAATAAATTTTGCCATGTGCAATCACAGTTCCTGAAAATGTTCACATTTACAAGGGGCTAGTAACCATCTAGCAATCATAATAGCAGAGCCTGTAAAAGACAGGATTTTAAACTCCAGATGCCTAGTGCATAGTTCTGCTCCAACTTTCATAGAAAGCTACACTGACATTTTCTAAGATAAATTTCACATTAATTTTAGCTTCAAATAGTTTTCAGCCAATATGGCAGTTTTCCAAAATATCTTATGTAATTTTTGTCATGTCATACACTAATATTTAAGTCTTTTACCAAAAGGAATTGCAACTTCTAAGCAGCCTGGAACCTTGGAATTCTGCATGAAGAAAACAAATTTATCGAGACAGCAGTAGAAATGAAGTCCCTTGTAATGTTTTGTCACATTGTGAATGTAATTGTTTCATATTGAATAAACTGTATAAGAAGGCTTGAAATGCACATAGTAGGAAGTCTAAAAATTGTTATTTTTTTATTACAAATTCTGACACAAAAGTCAGTAAGTAGAATGAATCTTTCTACTGTTTTCGATAGATTTAGATGAAGCTTTATGATGACAGTCTGTTTTGAAGCCATGATTGTTTATTCTTTATGATGAATGAGAGACGTATACTAATGAACCACCCTCTTGAATGCTGTATTTAAATAGAGGGCATTTATTGCCACCTTAAACAACTGATTCTTTCTCCCTCTTTCATTCAAATAAGCTGATTTGTTTTACTCTACCAGCAATAGGAAATAGAGAGTAAAACCATCTTTTTTAGGGTTTTTTCCCTACTTCATATGCCCTTAAATATTTTAAGTCAATATAAGATAAGCATCCTGTACCTCAGACTGCATTTTCTCCACAGAAGAAGAAACACATGGATTCTTGTTGGAAAAAAACCCAGAATTTCCTATGATGGAGAAAGGTGCCCTCCCAATCAAGCAAACACAGTTATCTTGAGGACATCATCGAGTAACATCTGTAGTCTATTTCTGAAAATTGTTTTGATACACTGACAACACTGCATGATGTCCATCCCTCAGTGCTCACAAATAAGCTGCAGAAGAAGAGTACTCGATTGCCTGGAAAACCTGGGGCTGGCATAGAGTGCTCACCGCACACTCCCTCAGCCTTCAGCCT